CACACCCACCTACGTATTGCAATAATAGTAACAAACATCTCAATGTTTAGTGCTCTAGAAAAATGTTATTCGACAGAAAAGTTCCCTCTATATACGAAACATCTTACAACGACTCACATAAAAAAAATATTTTCATATTACAATTATCTTCAGTCTCTTTTATCGATTCATGAGCTCGATATCTGATCTTTTTTTATAGTTCTTAAAGTAATAGATATTGTGAACAGTTAACCGTTCGGAATTTAATTGATATTTTCGAACTCATATTGTACAGACTAGCGGCGGATTAAGTGAATACCGATTAACACGAGAATGGGTTCGAAACTAATTATTGTATATGACGCCGCGGTTGAAGTAACAATTTCAGGAGGTTGTCCTTGTTCTTGCCAAGCGAGATAAATATTGATAATAGCTGCCTTAGTTTCCCAAACCGCATCGTCGTTAGCGACATTCGTTGTGATTAAAAGTGCCATCGGCTGAATCAATCGAGGATAAACTACAACATAAGCATACCAAAGAGTATTGCTACCAGTGTGCCAGAGTGATAGACCAAGATTGTCTCTGTTACTAATCATTCCAGATAGTGAGTCTTGAGAATTAGGAGTAGAAGATAAAGGAAAAACATACTGGGTATGAATGTTTTGCCACATATAAGGTGAGAGTAAATAAGGTGAGGTCGTTGAATTAAGGAAACTGCTGTTTATAGGAGCAAAGCCGAATGGCATTAGGTCACGTCCTTCTTGTAAATGACAAGCAATGAATTTAGCCCAATCATTCAGGCTTGCATGGACCGTACCTGCAGGTCCCCAAGCTTTAAAATTATCGGCATCAGTACTGTGTAATATACCAGCTGCATCCTCGTAATCACCAAATGGTTGAGTTGCGAAAGAATTCAATGGTACCTGTTCAGTAGGTGAGCCGAATCCTGCGGTGATCATTCCTAAAGGATCAAATAATTGTTGTTGAATGATCGATTCCCATGGTAAAGACCAAATTTCTTCTAAGATTAATCCTAATAAAATAAAATTATTGTTTGAATAAGACGAAGCTACAGGAACATTAATCGACGGTGGTGGACTGGGAATGGTCATCGATAATAGAAGACTTAAATGATAACGACGTGAAGGTAAATAATAGTTACTACAGGATTCCTTACTACCATTTCTTTCCAATGCTGATTCTTCAGCGTAATGTTCAGGAAGGAACGCTGTTTCAAGCGCTTCAATGCCAGAGGCATGAGTCAATAGATGAGCAACGGTCACATATTTCCATGAGGTATGAATCGTTAAACCACAAGAATAGGGAGACTTGGCGAAATAACCATCGACATTAGAGAAATTGGCGCATGTACATGAAGTTGACGGTGGTGTTGAAGTTGGGGACATTGGTAAATAAGGGAAAACGTTACCGACAGTAGTAGTAAGGTTTAATTTGTTTGCTTGAATCAACATTTGAATAAGAATGGCTGTCATTGATTTGGTGTCCGATCCGAGATGCCATTTATCACCGACTGTTACTACCTCTGGAGTTACTGCATCAGTCCGACGAACACCGGCGACCACGGTTGACACAGGAATAAATGGGCAGATCACATGTGGTGGTGACTGTGCCCCTGTGTAAGATTGCAAGGTAGTCATTTGAATGATCGAAGCACCAATGGCCGGTATGGCGCTATATTTATTTTGGATTCTTTGTAATATGGAGAGTATCGTCTCGTTGAGATGAATATTACTGGCAGAAACTGTGTTAGTGCATGGTGATCCTATTAACTGAATGAATGGAGCGGCAGTACCAGCACCAAAAGTATATGGTGCGGCTAAAAGACTAGGAAATGATCCATTCACAGTAGTAAAGTTTTCAGCTGGAATAAGCCATGTTGTATTGGTGGGACTCGTAGCGAATAGCGCGACATAACCAGCACCATCATTACTAAAACCGGCATACCAATAGGCGACACTATAGCTAACACCGGCTGTAAGATTGACTGGTTCGTCGAACGATAAAGTCCATGGATTAATTTGCACATCCGACAACTCGCCTGCAGAGACGGTAATCGTTGCCGTCTGTGCGATCAGCGCCGATGCAGCGTTATAGAGAGCGGCTCTGACAGTAAGAGAGACATTATTCTGTCGAGCAAACATAACAAGAGCAGTAACCTGAACGGTAGAGGAAAGTTGGAATGGCGTCTGGAAAAAAACATCCGCGGCAATTGTCACCGGATAGGAGAAGTTTGATGAAAGAATCGGACCATTAGATAAGAGAACTTCTGGCTCACCCAAAGTCGAGCAAAAGAAATTAGGGGTCAATGTTGATGACGTCAGCTCAGGCCAATACCAACAAAGAACAAGTACAACGAAACAATGCAGGTGCATGTGATACTGAACAACGATGGTTGTTGAAAGTGATGAGAACGGACAGTTGAAACTACAAATGAGTGCGAGAAAGACTTGTCAACTCGTTCATAAATAAAATAAACAAGACGAAAATCATTCGTACCAAATAGCATCTTAAGCTTTGATTTTATGTTTTTATGTAAGCACTCATCTTTGGGAACAATTCGAAAAGATACATGAAAATGGGTTGCCGATTGAATGAAATTTCCATTTTGATATATAATAAGAAATTGTGTTGATTTTCAGTCAAATTTTCATAGATTTTTTCGAATGTTTCCTAAAGATGATTAATTTTAACAGAATTTCATCTTATATTTTATCAGAGAAAGAGACATTCGGAGGTCTTTTCTATCGCTTGCTGTTGTCGAGTTATTAAGCTTATACTCATTACTCCCCATATAGGACTCCAGCTGTAGGTTTGAGTTTATGAACCCTTTAAAAATGGCTTCTGGAATAAAAACAAAATATGTAAGACTCAGAAATCCTTTGAGAGTATTTTTATGAAACTGCAACGTATTGTCCATAGGGGTTTATTATTCTATGCTTGTCTTACAGTACACGAAGATACTTCAAACCTACCGTTACAAATAACTTCTCTTTGTTTGCTGTAATTGTTTTGTGTAAAAATACGAGTGTGTTGCACGTAGTGAAATTAAATATTTGTTTTTTTCTTTCTTATCTTCATTTTATGACTGATGTAATGTATATCCTGATAATAGTAAGATGCAGAAATCTTTAGTTTGCATTGACTCATATGATAATACATAGAAGTTATCTACCTTTTTATTTTGTATTCTTGCTAATGTAACTCAATGGAAACCTCTTGAGGGTGTGGATGTGGGTGAAGGTGTGTGTAGCTACACCTTGCATACTCAAACCCTAGGTCAAAGAAATTATTTTTCACATAATTCTATAAAACGAAATTTACATTGGTTTTGATTTATCGCATTAGAATGCTTTTTTCAAATTTTTCTTAACTCATTTTATCATATTAATAATGACTGAGAATATAATAGTCGATCAAATTTCATCACAACAACTCGATAATAGTAATATATAACAATCTTATTTAGGATCATCTTACTTTAATAGCAAATAATCGAAAAAAAAGAATTTAACGAAACTTATCGTGATATCATTATTTATTATTTTTGAAAATCAAACTACGGATTTTATATAGAAGTAAAATTTTAAAAATAAATTATCTCAAAAAAACTTTTTAAGGCGGCTGACTGCATCTTCTTCTTCTCGACAGATGAGTCACGATTCAAGTCTGCCACTGGTTCTTAGCATCTAAACAACATTTTCAATCGGAAAAAAGCTTCCCATATTCGTGAGAACGTGCTGAGTGCACATCTGAAAACCGTTTTTTTAATTTGATTCCGTGCGGGAGACACATAATTTTAAAAAACCATTAATTAACACATGATGATTTCCTTATATGGTTATGTATGACTCAGTATTATGTGATCATTGATATATAAGATACTATATGCATATACATTTTAATTATCGTTTTTTGTGACTTAAATCGATCATAATAGAGTCTAATCTATGAGAAGTACTTATTGAATGGCTTGTTTATCTGAGTTTAATTAATTGATTTTAAGGATAAAATAAAACAAAATTTTAAGTGGTTTAACTTTCTGCGTTCATGACGGTTGTTACACTTCTGCAGTCAGCCGCCTTTCTCCTAATTGAACTTGCTTCAAGTGGAGGTCTAGTTTATTTATGCATTGTAGATTAAATCTAAAGATTTCTTTTTTTAGAGATCTCAAATTTTGAATTAAAGTAATTTCATATTTATTCATTCATTATTGACTTTTATTTAAAAAAAAGGTAAATGTAATGAAATGGCTATACCTATTAAAATATTGTCACGTACAAAAGTGAATAAAAAAACAATGGTAGACTTAATACAATATTATAATAAACTGTAATGTACTTTTTTTTTAAATTATCTAACTAATGATTGTTTTGTATGTAAAACATACACAAACCAATATTAAATAAATAAATAAATACACTTATTTCTAGAGATTATTCAGTTTAACAAATCACATCCTACTTTCACTCATTTTACAATTATGACATCTGTGAGTAACTTTATCCTTACAAAAAAAATAACATTTTTGAATTATAATGATGAATTGAATTCAAATAAAAAAAGTTTTATTCATGATTGTTCAAATAATGATTCAACAGTTTATGCAAGGTGAAATGAAACAAATATATATATAACAAATCTACTGAAGCCATGAAGAGAACCACATATATTCAAATAAATGTACAAAAAAATGACTTTCTTTTGTAATAATTTTAAGTGTAAAAATATATTTATAAATAGTAAACTACTCGATGAACTGTAACTAATAGAAAGTATGTTTGTAGATTCTATGTTTTCCTTCAAAAAAGTCTTGTAGAATTAGTCATACTCATGGCAGTAAAAAGAAAAATATGTTTTTAAAGCTCATTATTCAGGACAGAACAGAAAGAACTAAAGTAAATCTAGTTTTTTTTTCTTCTGTTCTTTTACTCAATGCTCCTTCCTTTTTTTTATTTTTCTACGTAGTGGAAAATGCAAGGCCAAGACAACGAAACAACACATTTACTTGACGTTTGTCATTAAAATATCTGAATTGATATGGTATTCATATGTGTCACATGTCCTTGTATAAAAAAATACTTACCATTACTAAGTTCGATTATTTTTTTTATTATATTATTTTATACAAATGCTGTTGTAACAACAATTGCAGATCGTATTGCACCTTATTATCAACCCGCATTGCCTGATATTGGTCATAAAATTTTACCCTATTGGAGCTATTATCAAATAAATAATTACTTAATTATAATTGGTTATGTATTTGTCTTTATCAGATTTTTACCACAATCTGACATTCGTATTACGGTTTTTCGTCGATGGTTTTTTGTACAAGGCTTAATGTTTGGTATGCGTAGTGTATCTATTTTTGTCACTTCACTTACTGTGCCACAGCCAGGTTGTGTTACTAATATAACAGAATTAGCAACACCAGCTGTCGAAGCATTTTATGTTATATTTGCATTACGTTCGACATGTGGTGATGTACTTTTTTCAGGTCATACAGTAGCATGTAAGTATTTTTGATATAGAAAATTAACTGATGAGATTTTTGTTCTTATTAAAATTTAGTCACAATTTGTGCTCTTTGTTGGACAACTTATGCTCGAGGTGAAGAATATCGACCATTCGTATTTATTTATCGTAAATGTGGTTGTACACGAGAATTTCATTTTCCTGAATGGCTTATTCGACCTAAATTAGATGCTGTTGGAGACCCTATGACACTTTATTTAACAACTTATATTGTTTGGTCTTATTCTGTAGCTGGTTATTTAATTATTATTGCTACTCGATTTCATTATACTGTTGATGTTTTTCTTGGTTGTTTATTAACAGTATTAACTTGGTATACATATCATTCCTATGTTAAACGGCTTTTAGAGAAGAGAAGATTTCTTATTGCAAGAATATTTGTTTGGTTTGAAGGATTAGAAGGTGATGCATCAACATCCATTAGTTTACTCAATGGACCTGTACCAAATCAACCAACAGAATTACCACCTGTTGCTGTCGTTAGTGCTGGTGATGCAAGATTTTAATGAAAATTATAATCTCATCAGTGTCAGATAGAATATATTTACTTTCGACATCGTGTCATCTGTGATGACAATCTCGTGAAAATTTTATTTTATTTATGAATGAATTGTATAATAAAATTACTTATTTATATTTGTAAAGGAAAGAGAAAAAGCTATATAGTACATGTAAAAGGGCAAAAAGATAATTTAAATAATAGAGTAACATGGTATAAAGTATCTAATATCAATAAAAAATGTCAAATCGAACTTATTTTTTTATGGTTTTACTATCATAAACCTTCAATCAAATAGTACAAACGTAAAATAACATATAATAAATAGTACATATATTCTTGATTAACAAAACAACAATAATACAAGAGAAAAAAATCAAACGTTTTCTATGTGTTTGTTTTTCTAGTAAAAATAAACTAAAGTCCTAGAGACGACTACTAATACCAGATAATCTATCAAAATCATCAAATGTTTCATTTGTATGACCACATTTATTTTCTCTATTGTCATTGATTGTTACTACAGTTTGTTTTGATTCTTGTTGTTTACAACATATTAATCGTTGTCGATGATTAAATATATATTCATCATACCAACTTAATGTATGAAATGGCCTCGGTAACCATGACCATGTTTGTAATCGATGTGGTAAAAATTTTGGTGAATGAGTTTGTAGAAGATTAATAACAATAGCCATTAAAATAATCAATACAATTGGACCAAATACACCAATAAATACATACCTAAAAACAAATAATAAATTCAAAGAGTTGAATAAAAATTCGAATAGTTCTATACCATCCAGCAAGAGATATAGCAAAAATAATTGAAGGTATAACAAAGAATGATGCAATAATGTAAACAATAGCAAACCATCGGTATTCCGCTGTTATTGCACCTAATTTTTTAGCTAAGCTGATTGGTATATTACGCATAAATGGTATTGGAAACCAAAGAAGAATACCGAAAATATTAAAAAATGTATGACATAAAGCAATTTGTAATGAATTTCGTAGTTCTTGAGCTGTTGTTGCTGTTAATGCTGCCATCATACCAGTTATTGTTGTGCCAATATTTGAACCTAATGTAAATGGATACATTCGTTCTATTGATATAATTCCAAGGCCAACAAGTGGTGTTAAAGTTGATGTAAATATTGAACTACTTTGTACAAGTATCGTAAATATACATCCAACCTAAATATATTATTTAAATTCAAACCTAAAAATCTTATTTTTCTTACTCCAATAGCTAAATATGGTGTTAAATGATGAAAAATACCAGGAAAATCAGCATTGACTGTTTTATGTATAATTGTACTAATTGTTCCTTTCAGCATTGATTGAAGTAATTTCACAAGTAAAACAAGACATGTACAAAGACATAATAATGAAAGAACAAGAAGAAGAATGCCAATTCCCCAATCGGGCCATGTAACTGTTGAAAATAAAAATCCACAATGTTCTTGTGGAAGTAAAATTGATGTATTATTCTCATCAGTTGTATTCTTATATGAACAATAACGTTTAACAAGTGAAAGATCCGTTTCTACTGATCCAGTTGCTATATTTTGAATGACTTTTTCATCTAACTAAAAAAAACAAATTAAAATAAAAAAACAAAAATTTTTTTCTACTTGAATTATTCGATGTGTTAATGGTCTTGTTAGAGCATTTAAAAATTGTGGATTTGTACTTGCTTTTCTATCAAGACTAATTGTTCGAGTAATAACTTCCGTCAAATGAAACAATACACCTAATTAAATAATGAATAGATAGAAAACTATTCTTTAGAATATATTTTCTATATACCTGATACAATTTCTAATGGTAATAAAACAATAACTGTTACCCAATTGAACATATCATGAACTGTAGCACCAGCAAAAGCTCGACGAAATTCATCTCTTCGACTCTAAAATAAATATTCATTCAACATTTACTTAATCTATATTTACTTACTGATTGTGTTAATGCAACGATTGTATTTGTTACCGATGTACCTGTATTTGAAAAGAAAAATGAATTAAAAGATTTAAATCAATAGCATCTATATACCAATATTAGCTCCTAAAAAAATTAATAATAATTTTTTCATAATAGAGAAAATAATTATCCTACCCATAATTATTGGAATTGCTCTTCTAACTGGTAGAACTAATAAAATAAAAATACGAATAAATTAAATTCTGTCAATCTAAATTATTTACTAGATGATGAAACCATTGAAACAACAATAGATGTGGATGTTGATGAACTTTGAACAACTACAGTTGCTAATAATCCAAGCATAAGACCAGCAATAGGATTGGAAAGAACAGCACCTTCTGTAAATGCTTGTCCAGTTATTTTACCTAATAGAAACAAATATAGATTTTCGCTTTGAAACACAAGAAAATTATTCTTACCACCAACAAGTCGAAATGCTGAACTCATTATATCAAGTGAACATACAAAAGTATATAATAATAATAATAAACCGATAAATTTAGTAATTAATACAACGACATGTTTTATACGTGCTGATGTATTCATATCTTTATAAAATAAATCAATAGTTAAAACAGATTATATTTTAAATTTCTTTACCTTTCCATTGAATTTCATCAGGATTAGTAATACTTTCTACAACTGTATTCCATGAATCTGGAGGAATAACGTCACTTTGTGATAGTTTATCCTCTTTCATTATTGATTATAATATAATGTATTGTCGACAATCGATGATCAATGTCTTAAATAGTCATGTTCTTATTCATACATTTGCTATTAAACTTTGGAATGTAAACATTCCTTGACAGTATGATGAAAATATCATATGTAAAGGTTTAGTATAAGTACGTCAGTGGTGAAAATATTTAACTTATGATTTTTTTTCTTCTTCTATAATAATTTCATGCACTTTATGTAACGATAACCTTTTTTCTATTACTGATTCCAACGAATTTTGATACGATGTCATGATATACTTTACCTGATCATTAGTAAATTTCATTTGTTTTCTTGCTTATGAAATATTTATAAAATGCCAACATGACATGAAGTTTGTGATTGTATGGAATGTTTCTCTTAGAGCAGTACGCTACGGCTAGAAAGATGGATTTTACGAGATTTTAGTATCCTATTTCTAAGATATAATTCCAACAATTTATTTCACCTTAGAAAAAAAATAGAAATCCTAAATAATTTACCTGTTGTAAAATACACTTGTGTTCGTTTGATACTTTTGGTATAAATGTGATTTAACTTGACATGCGTTATCTTTTTATATATACGATCAATTCGATTTTATTATAATTATCACTTTGTCCAGTGACGTAATACCTAGCTTTAGAAGATTATGTTGTATTGATCTAAGGCGTTTCGTTAGTTGTAATAAGAGCATGTACTGAAAAAACATCTTATTCATTCTTAATACCTATTATTTTACCATGTACTTCATATATCAATTAAGTTAGTAATACTAGATTCTCTCCGCCTTTTCAATAATCGACATAATTCAAAAGGTCTAAGGAAAGACAAATAGAACACATTGACCTACTACTCATTGAAATGTATTTTTAAAAAAATGAGTAAATCATTGAATTTCAAAATGAGACAAAGTAAATAACAGGCAGATCATTATTAAATTCAATTATTAATATTTTGTAATACTAAAACTTCAGATCAATACATAAATTATCTATGATTATGTTTGACAAAAAAGATAGATAATCAACCCTGAATTCTATTAGAAGAGTATATGTGCGACATCTATTTGTCTTAGTATTCTAGTTGGTTAATACTTCTATTCTATTAATAAATATTCTTCTTGCAAGAGACTTTTACCTATATACTTCTTTCAACTACAAGACAAACATGTCTTTGCTATTCGTTTCAGCAAGTCGAACATGTCGGTCTTCTTTTTCTCGACAACATATACTTTTATCTACATCTCGATTTCAATCAACTCAAATAAATCCAGAGATTCATCAAACTCAAAATCAGCAAACAAAAGCGGATTATCCATCATCATCATCATCTAATTCTAGTCGTCGATATCGTTTTTATTTCTTATCTATTGCTGCTGGAGCATTAATTGGAGGAGCATATACATTTCGACAATCTCGAAAATATGAGGGTCTTATGCCTGAATATATTACTAATTCTGAACAACTACAGCGTAAAGCAATGGAAGCTCGACCAATGCCACCACCCGTAACAAAACATATTACATTTGATGAAGGACCAAGAGTAAATTTCCCATTTAAATTAACACTCTATCAATATGTTACATGGTTTGTTTATCTTATCTTTTAAAATAAATTTTTAATGAAATTTTGTTTTTTTCATTTTATCTAGTCCATTTTGTTGTAAAGTTCGTGCATATCTTAATTATAATCGTATACCATATGATATAGTTGAAGTTAATAGTGTAATGCGTTCGGAAACAAAATGGTCAATATATAAAAAAGTTCCAATACTTGTTATAGAAAATGAAGAAATTCAATTAAATGATTCAAGTATGATTATATCAGCTATTGAATCTTATTTACGTATGCCAACAAAACGATTTGAAAATATATCGAAATTATATCAATCAGTTGTTGAAAAAGATGAAAAGGGAAAATTATCGTTTAATTATCCGAATAAATATTTTCTTGTTGAACCATTAACAAATGAACGAGTAGATCCAACAAAACAAGTTCAAACAGAAAAAACAAAAGATGATGCTCGTGATAATGATGCAACAACAACAACGAAAAATGTTAATAATCAATCTTCACCATGGTTTTTCAGTAATTAAAATTAAATAATTTCTAAATTAATTTATTTTCTTTATTTTTTATTTTTAAGCTAAATTTTTTTCAAAATCAAAATCAGAACATAAAGAAGGTTTAGTTAATATTGGTTCAGGAACTGTTACAGACAATGAAACAAAATCAATTACTTCATATAATAAATCAAGTGAACAATATAAATTAGAACGTAAATGGCGTGAATGGGTTGATACAAAATTTGTTCATACATTATCACCAAATATTTATTGTACTTTAAATCAATCATTGAATACATTTCGATGGTTTTCACAAGCAGGAGATTGGGAACAAATATTTCCATGGTATCAACGTTGGATTATTGTTTATGTTGGTGCCGTTGTTATGCGTGGTGTAGCAGGACGTTTAAGAAAAAAATATAATTTAAATGATAATGTAAGAATTTCTCTATATGAATGTGCAAATGAATGGGTTAAAGCCGTTGGAAATAAAAATTTTCTTGGTAAGATAAGATTCAATTTAATTAACATCGATTTTGCCAAGGAAGAATCGCAAATCGCTCAGACTATCTTAAAATTGCGGATTTTTTTAATTTTAGGTGGATCTCAACCAAATCTTGCTGATTTAAATGTTTATGGTATTCTCACAGCTATTCAAGGATGTGAAGCATTTCAAGATCTTATGAGTAATACAAAGATTCAACCATGGTTTGAACGTATGAAACATTCAGTTGAACCTCATTTTGCTGATAACCGTCTTCGTGCTACTACTTAATAAACTTAAAAATTTTTCATCAAAAGATAACTCGAAAAATCTTTTGATTCTATATTCATTGTTTAGTTGCAAAAAAGAATGAAATTTTGTAATAGTCTACTATTCTAGATAACATAAAAAAAGAATTAAAACAAAAAAATGACGATCATGGAATGTGCTGGTTGTACATTAATTGCATATGGTGTACCATTTTCAATGTTTGTATTTACAATTGCACATCATCCATTTCGTATAATTATTTCAATGACAAGGTAAGAAGAGAAATCAAAACAAAGAATAATTCTTCATTTTTATTATTATAAATATTTTTTCTAGTGCATTTTTTTGGCTTATATCATTACTTGTATCATCATTACTTTGGTTTGCTGTAGTACCATTACGTAATCAACTTGCTTTTGCAGTACCATTTGCTGTTATATTTCAAGAAATATTTCGATATTTATTCTATCGTGTTATTAAGTAAAAATTTTATAAATTATTAATTTATATTTGATGTATTTGATTTATTTAGAAAAGCAGAATTTGCTTTACAAAAAGTACAAATGCAAGAATTAACAGATAAAGGAATGGTATTTGATCGATTTGCTGTTGCTTATGGTAATATAAAAAATTTCATATTATTTTAAATTAGCCATTCTTTTTTTAAATTTAAGCTGCAGGATATGGTTTCGGTTTCATTAGTGGAACATTTGCTATTGTTAATGTGCTTAGCGATATGATTGGTCCTGGAACAATTGGTATATTTGGACATTCGCAAGATTTTTTTATTGCTACAGGTAAAAACACAGGATTAATCAGGACACTTTATACGCCCTTATTTTTCTTTCGTGATAAAGAGAAAATACAACAAATCGATACGTCACTTAGTCGACGTAGTGCATATAGTCGATATTTATTTTTTTCTATGATATATTAATAGCTTTATTTCGAGATACGCACAATGCACGATATATTTTCGAATATCATATATAACTAATTCGTATCATTATATTTTAGCTTTTCTAACATTATGCATAATTCTTCTGAATACATTCTGGGGTGTTATTTTCTTTACATCACTTGACAAAGGTGGTATTCATCGACTTATTGGACCAGGAATTGTTGTTCTTACACATATGCTTTTTTCCTGTATTGTAAGTCTTGTCTCTATTATTTATAATTTTATTTTTATGAATATTAATTTCTCATAGACATTATTAAATCGTAAATCACAACCACTTTATTCAGTATCACTTGCTGTTGGTTATTCTCTATTAATTGGCATGATTATATATACATTAATGTTACGTGGATTTACAATAAATAATATTCGTCAACGAATGAATCGAGATTAATTATTTATTATCTGTAACATTCCGTTTTCTTTTCTGTTGTAAATTGATGATTCTTTTTTTTTTATGGAAAAATCTGATTGTTCTTTCTTTCATCTATATTTGTTGTTATTGTTATCGTTCTAAAAGAAATTGAGAAAAGAATGTTATGTAGAAAAACTTTAAAATATAAATCAAATGAATGTAATTTTGATGTGTAATAAAATAAATTGAGCTCAGCTTAAAAATATTTTTATAGATATTTTTTCGATGTATTTTTCGTTTTCATACTTATTTTTTAAGTAGAAAAAAAGATACATTTTCTCTTGGTGAAGAATGATATACTGTAAAATTATTTTTGTTCCTCTTTTTTTTGTAGTATACAAGACATATAGTATGGCATCGTCACAAAAAAGTATCGCACTTGTTGGTTCAGGTAATTGGGGAAGTGCCATGTAAGTTGTTTTTGTTTTCGATCTTTATTTATAATAAAGTTTTATTATATAACTAAAGTGCTGGTCATATTGGTGAAAAAATTCGTGACTTAAAAGGTCAATATAACGAACGATTATTAATGTGGTGTAAAGAAGAAACATTAGATGATGGACGTAAATTAACTGAAGTTATTAATAAAGAACATGAAAATGTTAAATATTTACCGAAGCAAAAAATTCCTGAAAATGTTATTGCTGAACCAGATCTAATTAAAGCAGTTAAAGATGCTGATATACTTGTTTTTGTTATTCCACATCAATTTGTAAAAGAAACTTGTGAAAAATTAAAAGATAAAATCAAAAAAGATGCATTCGCATTAACATTAGTTAAAGTTAGTAGAAAAAGAAAAAGACAGAATATTTTCTATTTTATAATAAATATTAATTTTTTTTTAGGGATTTTATGTTGATGAAAAAACCAATGAACTTCAACTTGTTTCGGAAATTATTACAAAGACATTAAATATTCCATGTCTTAGTATGATGGGAGGTTTGTAGAAAAAATAGAATAACTAATCCGAATTGAATTCATTTTTCTTTAGCTAATATTGCAAATGAAGTAGCTGAAAAAGTTTTTTGTGAAGCAACAATTGGTTCTCGTGATGATAAACATAGTGAAACAGTTCGAGAATTAATTGATACACCTGTTTTTCGTTTACGGTTTTATCCTGATGTTGAAATAATTGAAATGCTTGGTGCTTTAAAAAATGTTATTGCAATGTTAGCTGGTTTTTCTGAAGGTTTAGAAGCCGGATTTAATACACGAGCTGCTGTAAGATTAAATATGATGTTTTTAAAATTTAAATAAATATTTTTTCTATTTAGGTTCTTCGTTTAGGCTTTCGTGAAATGATTAATTTCTGTCGTTTATATAAAAAAGAATCAACACCTGATATTTATTTAGAATCATGTGGTATAGCTGATTTAATCGCATCATCATTAGGTGGAAGAAATTATAATGGTGCGAAAAAGAAAGCTGAAACAAATAAATCTTTAAAAGATATTGAAAAAGAAGATCTTAATGGACAATCATTACAAGGTCCAGGCACAGCTAAAGAAGCTTATCAATTTCTCGAAGGAAAAAAATTATTAGATCAATTTCCATTATTTCGTGATGCACATCTCATTTGCGAAGACAAAATTAAACCAAAAGTATTTCTAGACAATTTAAGTAAACATCCAGAATTCGATCGAAAACAATAATTTCATATTTTGTCTTTCATTTGTGATATTTCACCGAAAAAAAAATTATTTATAATCCAGCTATTTTTTATTATGATCTTTAATTCAGCTTTTTTATTTTTTTGGTAAAAACTGACTTTATTCTGTGTGTATGTGTGTTTTACTATTATATTATTCAGGCATATTAAAGTTCTTTTTAATAAAAATACTGATAGACTTACATTGATTTTAAACAGCTTATCAAATAGAAAGACTAATCTGAATCAAACAATAAGAATTATTTATGTGCATAGATAATATTATTTGTAATAATACTGTAATCTCTATACTGATATTTTACTTTGTAAATTTATGAGATTACAAACAGATTCATTTTCATCACAATCAATAAAAACACTCAGTGTCTAATCCAATAAATTAATATTCGAGAAAATAAGAATTGGAATTAATATATAAGATGAAATCAATATTTTTATATAAACAATTCTCTTCTAATCAAGTTTCATGCAGTAAAGTCAAAAAAATATATATGTTTGCAATTAGAACTATTATCTTTGTTTCTACGTTCATTTTTTCCCTTCTTCTTCTGAAAAATATTTAACATAAATGGGATATTAATCCGAAACATGATCACTATTCAATTAATCAATAATATTCATTTGTACTGGTGTACTGGTAAGATTATTTATAGAATGTAATATTCATATTTATTTTTTTACATAAATATATATGACATTTGTCTGAGAGGATTTTTTATGAAATAAATTTTTTTGACTTTTACTTAATTATTAGTTCGAGCGTGTATCTTCCTATACTATGAACTTTTTCGATTATGTCTCACAGAATTTACATCCGTAGATCCAGTATATATATATTTTAAAGGAAATTAATATTGATAATCATTAACAGAATTATTTCTATTGTTTAACAGAAATAAAAAACACTTCATACTATATATTATAAAAGATAAAAACAAATTTGAATAAAACACTGACAACACTATTGAAGTAAGTTTCAATTTAGAATATCAGTTCTTTTTATCTATCTATTTTTAGCGAAAAGCAAACATCCACAGTCCCTATCATATAGACATGCCACGGTATATCTGTTTAGTTTCTTTCAAACTAGTTAATCATTCCTTTTGTGATTTATTATTTCTCCGATGATTTCATATAATTAACATCTGAAATTTAGTAGAACTCTTCGAGATTTATCATTCTATTATACTCTCGTTTTTTTCCACATATCATTTTTTCTCTGTTTAGGTAGATGTGCTTACAAATTATTTAATAAAAATAAATCTCTATCGTATTTTGTAAAGTATAAGACATTTTATTTTTTATTATATATATATCAGTGGTGGATCCAGGAATTTTCGAAGGGGGGTGTGGATACGATACAAACTCAATATTTCTGCGGAAGACTACTCAAGTTAGCATAAGATCTGCTTTAAAGGGGGTGCGATCGCACCGCCCCCCTCTCTTGGATCCGCCCCTGATATATATATATATAACAAAAGATTATCTAAAGTTTGAATACCTTTTTGAATATAAATATATTTTTTGTAATCGAAATATGATATTAACTATTTTTTATTTTTGTCATTAATTTATGCATACTTCCAGACTGTTATTTAAAAGAGGAAATAATTATGATAGAGAATCATGGATTTCAGTATAAATATCATTTTCAACATCGATAAATACACTATTTTCATTTTATTAATCATCAATCTTAATTACTTTTCTTTGTCTTTTTTCAATTGAAGGATTAATAAAAAACATTTTACTACGGAACTTAATCTTTATTATCATCAATAGAATCATTTTCTTATTTTCTAGTAATTTCCGTATGTGTAGTCTATATATGATATATATATTAAAATGGAATTCATATTATTCAGTATCATATATATAATCTTGATAAAAAAATATGTAACGGTATAAGCATTTTAGTTTGTTTGATTTCAGATTCTTTAACTATGGTTTCCTCAACTACATTTTATCTTCTTGTT